TGAATGCACTATATTTTGTCGGAAATGACGTTAGTTGTGACGGAAATTGCGCCATATGTGCTTGATAAATTATACGAAAAGTTCTTTGCAAGAGAGGCAGCAGGGGGATAAGACGATTGAATGGGATGAGTTGAGTGCTGGAATTGTGAAAATGAGGTTGTTAAGTGCAAGAATTGTAAAATAAATGGAGTTGTTTGAAGCGAGAATTGTTAAAATGAGGCATTCGCTGAGACCTGCATTGCCACTGCCGTAAAATTCCTTCTCCTTAGTTTTGTGATGCCAAATTATGTCTTGAAAAATTTACTTTACGAGCGTAGAAACAAAATTCTTGCATCTTCCATGATAATGCAGACTTTTGTTTAAAAAAAAAAAAAACAGTTGGCAGAAAGGACTAGTGGGGATAGGGAAGGTGAACTGTGGCAAGATCATGCGTACTGATACGGTGGACATGAGCGTGTTTGCACTTATAGATTTATTTAACAAATTTCTGGACAATGAGCAATGATACTCACTAAAATCTTGATCATAATTTTTTGACACGTAGAATTCTTTTTTTTTTAAGAATACCGATTCAGTGGGTTTTTCGGGAAAAAGATGCATTTTGTTAAAATTTTCTTGGTTTGTCATTTATTTAGGTAAGTTTCGAAACGATTCTGTGGATGGACGGACGATTTGTTAAAAGAAAACATAATATCATGCAAGACAATTAAGCAACAAAAGATAATCAATCGCTGAGGTTAAAGATCATAGCTGTTTGTGGTAAATCGAATAAATCAAAAAAAATAAATAAGCATACGTTCGCTTCGCTTTGTACGCATCGTTTCTTGGACCTGAAATTTGAATTGTTGAGATCAGCTTTCTGAAGGCTTCTTCAAAATTCAGCACATAATGAAGAATTTATTTTAAGCGCTGTTAGGCCCGAATACTTTTGTTACTGAATGAATTTTTGGTCATTACTAATGATTTGGTTATTTATTTTATTATTTTAAGCAGATTAACGCACTGATATATTTTAAACATTTTAATCTCATTACTGAATTCATGCTAGTGTGATTTTGAAATTTTATTCTAATGTTTAATTCTCCTTTAAATTTATCTCTTTGTCCTGTAATTTTGCAACAGATTTTCAGCACAAAATTACTGGATAAAAAATTGAAAAAAATAAGATTATTTTTATCCAGTAATTTTGCCCGGCGATTTTACTTATACGTATGTTAGCGCTCTATGTTTATTATCCTCTCGAAAGACTCAAAACTCCGTATTTGTTGAAGCAGTCATGACAGCTGAGCAGCATGGGCGATGTCATTTTGATTATGTGAGAGAGTCCAATTCTTCGGACAGGACGTGTTGCTTGCCTTTCTGGGTAGTTTCGCAAAGAGGTGACGCACTGCGGATGATGGACACCAACTAAAAATACGTGGCCCTAAATTGGGGGCCTAAAAAATTGCTTTTGACGTGCGGGGGCGCCCCCGTAACATAACTGCATGAGATACCAGCACCTGTTTTCTGATGGTATTTCGGGTATTAGTATAATTACGGAGCAATGAAATTTCAGAGGGAAATGAAATTCGTCTGCTCTAATTAAAATATTTTTATTTCACATTTTCATTTGATTTTATATTTCTGTCACTTTTATTTCCTAAATTTCAAAATTCTTGAAATCATGAATATACGATTTGCAAATTGTTAGCATTGATAAATTTGATCATTATTTTTTTAGACTCATGAAATATAATATTAAAAAAAAAAGTAGCGAAATTGTCTTAACATACCGAACGGCCCTCGAGGCGGTGGAATGATTGGCTTCTCAAATGCTTTACCCAAACCTGAAATTTTTCGAAATAATTTTTATTTTGCTGGCGATCGTAACATGCCGAATTTTCGATTTCGCCAGTGGGATGGCCAACTTCTCCACGATCCTCTCATTTCTCCTGAAGACAAAGTGTGCTGCGCGTATCAGGGAGCCAATATTGCTGGCAGTTTGTTTTTTTGCGCTAGTCTTGGAAGAGGAATTTATCGACAGGTTTGCGAGCTGATTGGTGCTATTGGCCGCTGCTGCCATCCTGATAACTTTAAAATGCTTCCAGCTCTCAACTGCGAGGGAAAGAGGGAGGGGAGGGGCCAGGGTTGGGTGGGTCTCATTTAAATTAAGGTGAGGGGCAAGGAAGGCAGGGAGAATGACGTTGTTTTTGAATTTTTTTTTCCTCTTTTATTGTTATACGGTGAGTTCCTTGTATGAATGTTTCTTTGTATTATTCCATTGCCTTCACTCCATGCTGGCAATTTTCAAACGCTTTTTTTTGATAATGTATGAGATAAGGTTGTAAATTACGCAGCCTTGAGTGATGGTGTCATGATCAAGGTCAACTGAACCAGAATGAACGAAATCTGAAGGACCGTCGCTTCTTCTGTCTTTTTGGTACTTGGCAAGAGGATATCCAATAGCTGGAGGGAAATGAAAAGTATCTTGATGTGAAAAAAGGTCTTTAAAGAATACGAATATTCATCCTTAGCTCTGTATTATTTTTAGTTTTACTAAGGTCTTCAGATGTTATCATCCACTAAAAGATTTCTCGGTGGATAATAACCGAAGGGGAAATTTGTTTCTTGAAATAGTTGCAAGACAACGGCTCTCATCATAATCTGCAAGATAGTACCAACTCCCTTTTTCACTCCATTTTTTCCAATAAAAAAAAAGCATTCGATAGCATCGAGTTGAAGGTTATGATACAAGCGCTTGTAGACGGAGAGATTGATGGAAACTGCGTGAAAATTTTGATGAAGAAGCGAACACAGGCTATCTGACCAACCCAGAACTTTTTTATTCTCCAAATGTGTATACGGTCAGGAGGCGCGTCGAGCACGTCATTTCTTAATCAGCTTTCTAAGCATTTCTCCGGACTATTTCAAGATGGTATTTTACGAGCTAAATTGGAAAAAATGGTGTGGACGTTATTGCTGCTAAATTGTCCAGAATTCTAAAAAGTTTTTGACAAAGCCTAGCGGACTTATGTGGATCTTTTAATTTGAAATTTTTAACGAAAAAGAGTAAAAAACGATTTACCTGTTTTTCCATTACACAGATCCGACCTGCATGTTCTGCACAACGTACCCACTAAATTAACCCTATCGCATGTTGGCGCACAACCTTTTCGGAGTCCTGAAATCCTCATTTGTAATGATTATTTTCAATCATGTCAATGCATTTTTCGAAACCGACATATATGTTGTTAGATGGCTCAGTCGCATTGTTTTTTTTTTTTTTTTTGTCTAACTTCTGCTTCAATTTGCATCCTTTCGGGGTTCCACGTCTTGATTTTTTTTTTGAAATTGAACCACACACCATTTTGTTTGACATCGTAGTTCTCAGCAACCGTGAAGCACTCGTTGTTTTTTGGACACTGCTCTTCACGGGGATTTGCACACTCGTGTGGGCCGTCACAGGTGTAACAGCGCAAACATTCGCCTGAAATAGCAAGGAGTCGTATAATTTTTAAAGATTCGATTGTTTCGACTTGTTCCAAGTCTGCTGGAATTAACTGAAGCATCGGCTTAAATAAATTAAGAAAAATACGAATAATTCCCGAACATTTACCGAAATAACAGCCAAAGATTTTTTTAGGCTTTTGCAAATCCTCAAATATAGGAGTTTTCACATTTCTTTAAAAGTCCGTAGAGGTAAAAGTTAAGGTTCAGTTGACACCATGACTTCTTAAACTCCAGGTTCTGTGCCCGCCAAAATTTATGTAATTCTAGGTTGCGTGTTTTCGAAATAACAGGGCGAGAAGGGGAGGGGGCTGGAAAGGGGATGGGGAAGAATGAGGGTGGGAGTAGATTTGAGAATCTTATTTTACATCACACACATTTGCTCAGATTTTTATTAGGCTGAAAGAAATATTATCGCAGATGGGTGATAACTGTAATAAATTAGCAACATACCGTACTGCAAACTGGTTGTCAATGCAAGAATTCCGAACGTGAATTGTATGAATGGCGATTGTTTCATGGAATTCTCAGCTATCACTTTAAGTAAATTCCTGAGCGTCTTGCGTGATTTCTTGGTTTACTTTCTCCAGGAGATCTGAAAGATTGTTCACTTAGTCTGCATAGTATTTTTGGACTCGATTTTCGCGTCCACATCGTTATTTGGTTCGCTGTTTACTCTCATTTTCTGATTTTGGATAAGTTATAAGTTTGCTCTCGTTTTTTGATAAAAATCCGCTGTTTTGAGATTCTGTAGAGGACATCTGAGATTGAAAATTTTATTAGCCGTGTTAGAACGCATGATGCTTGTGATCACCTCATATTCATTTCATCAAAGGTTTTGTCATATAAATGATCTGTAAGGTGTCGTCGTGGAAACTGGAATACTTAATGGTGTGGATGAATCGCTCATTTTGCTGACCATCAGCTACCGTCCAGTATCACTGAGTATTGTCCTCAGGAAAGAAAACGACCACTTAAGTGCCCTTCGAAGAAATAATGCACGTAATTAGGAGAGGCAATAAACACAAAGTAATGTGGATGAGGCGAGCTCAGGATAAAACTCGGTGGCATAGTTGTCGGCTCAGTTACTGGAAAAGATCAGCAACGCATCAGTGACGGAAATGCCGTATCAAGTAAGAGAAATACAAAAAGCCTGGCATAGATGTGCTTAGCATTTAGGCCCATACCGATAACATCAAAGTTTCACATCGATGCTCCGGACGGTTTTGTGTAATAACTGCTGTAAAAGTAAGGGTTGGGACAGCTCGGATCGTTAGCTGTGGAGCCAGCCTCGCAGCTGTTCTAGACTGGAGAAAGTGCATTGTAGGGCATTTGGTCTACAGGGTGGTGGCTGGAACTTGCCTCCGTTATCTAGCGTCGCCCACGACCTATCGTAATTGGTGACAGATAACAAACAAAATCGAGTACTGATAAGGATCCTTAGCACAGCGCAATCGATAGTGCAGCGGAAAAAGAGCGAAGGAAAGTAGAAATGATCGTGGAATTGGTGGTACGGCCAAAGCAACAATTACGCGAACCAATATGCATCAGGTGGTGCAGACCTTGATGGTTGATATCGGATCAGGACTTATAAAAACGTGAGAATTGATATTATTACATCTTCCGAGTACCGCTAGCCTTTACCGTCCATTCAGTCGTTTTTTCGTGTTTTCATTGTTTACCGATGCTCTTAAGGATAATAGGTAGCATTTTCATCACCGGTTAATCTTGATGTTACACCTTGACTCAGATCTTTTCAGACACAGTAAAGCCACTCACCACCCCCCCTAAATCTACGTCATCCAGCCAATAAACCTGCCAATGAATGAATTTTGCGCGGCCGAGCTGAATTTGGTGGTTGTCAGTTACAGCTCTTCCCCTCCCTCGAGCCTAAATCTGCATCTTGAACATTACTTGAATTGCGTGCTACGGTGGCGCTGCGTATTTTTGGATGCGGGCGACGTTTTTAATAAAAGTCCTCGAAAACTCGGAAGAACCCAAGTGAGGTTGTGCTGGCCGTCGGATGTTAACACAGTTCGCTCAAAGTTTACACGAAATTCACCGGAAGGACTCGGAAAAACCGACGAATGAAAGTGAGAGGGTGAAAAACGAATGCAATGACATTCATTGTGGCAATGGGCAACCATACTTCAGCGGATTATGGGACGTTCTGTGGTGAATCATACGGACAAACGCAGCATTGTAAACTTAGAGAACAGGGTGACAGCAACCAACCAAGGATCACTGCATTTCATGCATATTTGCGTAGTGTTTGGGTTTCAGTAAATACTTTATTAAATGGTTCTGTTTTGGGGTTTAACTTCCTGGGAATTTCCGTGCGATTAGCTTCCTAGCATATTTTTCTTTTGCGAATGATGGAGCTCCGGTGATAAGACCACATTAGAAATGCAGAGGATATGTTGTTCTGACATTTTTTACTGGTAGGCTAGGGGCAGAAGCAAGAGACAGGCACGAAAATAAAGCTATTCACTAGTTCTTTCCATATCGGTTGTAGGAATTACGAGGGAAGGGCAAGAGAGGAGGGGCGGGGGTGAGAGGGAGGGGAAGAGCACCTTCCTTTTGTGGCATGAATATAGTTTTTGTGTTTTCAAAAGTAGCATAGAATTGTCAAGATTGCCCGCATCTGTGAACACTCATTTTATACACAAAATATTGATCAGACAATAATTGTGTAAGCAGAAATCTGTGTTTATATTCAAGCGAATCCCGAAAAAATGCGGCATTGCAGTAGATTTTATAGAAAAATTTTTTTGTTTGTACAGACTTTTAGTAATGGTAGACATAGGCCAATTTCTATTTGCGAGTAACTGGGCGCTCAACGTTTTTTTCGCAGGGTATTATGACAGTACAAACTCAAAAGAGGAACATTACGAAGCAACTCAT